TAACATCATCAATAAATATGTTATAATTATTTCTAAACTTTATTCATATATGAATAAATAACATGTCATGATGACGTCATCACTAGTAGGAATGGAAATTTAATGACATCATCAAAAAAGATTGTCGCAATGAAGTTTAGTCTCGGAATTGTACGACATTCACATATTTGATGTAAAATGGTGCGATTTACAAAACTCACCGCTTTGCCGTGACGTACGGTGTTTTTTGGCCACTCGGACTGTTTAGGGCTTCAAAATTACATTTCTTCTATTTTTATAATTTTTCAAAAAAAATGTTATCTTTATTCACAAATGAATATAACATGAATAAAAAAATATGCTTGTATATATTATTTATTAACCCATAAAGATTAGTTGTATGTGAATAAATATATAATCTTATGAAATACTTTTTTTATCCTTTATTTTAAATATTTTGTAGTTCTCGGTTTTATTAACAGTTTTTATTCATTTCTGAATAATATATATATATATATATATATATATATATATATATATATATATATATATATATATATATTAACATTTAATTATTACATATATATTCATTTGTGAATATTACATATGTTCACATGTGGATATAATTCTTATATATTATTCACATATGAATTACAAACTTGCTTAGGACCTCAAAATGATGTATTACCTGTATTTATTTATGAATATTACGTGTATTCATTTGTGAATATTACATGTATTCGCATGTGAATATATTTTTTATATATTATTCACATATGAATTACATACTTGCTCTGTGTTTTTAAAAGATATACATTGATTCTCGTGTAAAGGCATATTCACTTGTGAATATTACGTGATATATTTAGTTTATCCATTTCATGAAATAGTTAGCATGCAAATAAATTAACTTATATAACTATGGTAAAAAATTCACAATTGAAGCCAATAATTACAAAAAAATCAAATCATATCAAAATCGATTAATAATCAATAGGTTTATATCAAAATTTGTGAAAAAAATGTATGAAAAACGAAATATATCACGATTTTAAAAAATTTTAAAAAATTTCTTCAAATATATGGCTATGTTGATGAACTTTCGATTGCTATGTGTTGTTTGATATTGGTGAAGGTTCCTTTGATGAAGTTTCGAAGATTGGTGATCGCCAAATGACGTGACATCGATAAATATTGATTATTTTTAATGATTTTGCTTGATATCAACGAAACTGGACAAAATTGAATCACGACTTACACTTAATAGCACGAACAAATGTTTTTAATGACGAATCACAACATTTTGATGAAAAAACGAAGATTTTTTTATGAAGAATTGATGTTTTTATGAAGTGTCGATGTTTTTTTTATGAAGAACAGATGACTTTTATAGCAAACAAGTTGTAGAACGTATGATGTTAATGAAGAATATATGATGTTGATGAAGAACACAGAGGAACAATCGAAATAAATTAATAACAGATGGTGTTGATGAAGAACAGATAAACAATCTAGAAGAAATGATATCTGTGATTAAAGGTTAATATATTATTCCTATTCTAATAAAAGAATAGTTTTATTCTCCATTTGACATGTGTCATCTTATTAACTTCCTAATTAATGCATATTTTATTCCTTTTTTACCATGTATCATCCTATTATTCCTTCTAATTAATGTTTGTTACTCGTCAACATAATGATTCTCCATTTTAAATTTCAAAATTTTAACTTTTCACCCTAATTAAGTTAAATTAATAACAATAGAATAAAAATTAATACAAATTATAAAATGATATATTTCACGTATTTATTTAAATCAATAATTATAATTCTATATAACTAAAAAAATCTCTTAATTACTAATATATTTAAAATAATTTATTTAAAATAATTGATTAATAATTTTAAGTTTATACTATAAAAATTTAATAAATTTTATAACCGTGGTTTCCACGGGTTATAAACTTTTATATATATATATATATATGACAGAAGAAACTATGTCGCGATATAGGATATACTAATAATCATAACTTCTACAAAGGTTATGAACACATCCTAATTACTAAACATCTTGAAAATGGATTATTTATATGAATTCGTAGTTTTTTTTCTCTAATTCCTGTAATTAAGCGTTGCTTCTTCAATAGATGATTTATTCTGAAGACAATATCATTCTTATATAAAACTACTTCGAATGAAAATATCGTAAAATGTGACAAAAGTGGAAGACATTCTAAAAAGCTAAAGATAAATTATGATTGATTTATTTGTTTTTTGTTTTTTATTTATCATTCTTCAACATAACTTTCATTGGGTATTCATGTGTCTCCTAGATATTGACATATGGAGTTGAGATGTTTTTTGGATTCGCATTTTGATTTTGATAGATATTCTTATTTAAATAACATGTTAATGCTTTTTGTCCTTATGCCAACGATTTTAAATGATTTTTTAAATTTTGGTATGTGTTTAATTACTTTAGTCGATGATAGATAATGACTATACAATTATATTGATTTTATTAAATTTTAATAACTTTAATAAAATAAATTAACATCAAGCATCAATAATCGTTAAGTTGTTGACATTTTATACTTCAGTTCCCTTTTGTCCGCATCCTTTAACCTTAACTAGTTTGTTATATTCACTAAGATGAGAAAGTAATATAATTGATATTATAGGAATAAAATATATACATAAAAACAAAATAAAAGCTTGCCGTTTGTTATTATTAATAGGAAATAATACAATGTAACAAAAAAAAAAAAAAAAAAGCAGTAGAAAAAGTCAGAACGTACATCACCTCACACCCACCACAAGCCAAGCTCGGGCACCATATGCCATGCATACATTTTCTCACCTCAATAATGCCACCATTATTGTGGGTCTGTAGCTACCTTCTTTACTGCCCTTTTCTTCCTTCATCATTGCTTCCTTCTTTTGCATACTATTATTACTATGAGGGTTACAACTGTCATTTTATATAAGTTTTCTTAACAGCCAAAGATTTATTAAAAAAAAAAACACAGGAATGTGACAGAAAAGAACATAAGGCATCAAAAAGCTACAGTAATTTGATCCATTCCGCCCTTTTAAGAAACCCGTTATAGTATTAAAATGCTAGTAAGGCTCCTTGAACGGGTCTTGGCATCCTCGGCGAACACCAGGCCAAGCCGTTGGCATGCTGAGCTCGGCTCGACAACTCGACTATGGTTTATTGATGAGTCGACTATGGTTTATTGATGAGAGAAGCTTTGTATTTTATTTTCTTTTTTTTTTTCTTTACATATTTATTATTCAAATTCATTTTTTTTTAAATTACAGTATTTTCCAAAAAATACCAAATTTCATAACTATATGATTTTTTTTTTCTTTCAAATTTTAAACACTTAATCTTCAACTATAAATGTCATCATCCTTATTTATTTGGGAAAATGACTTAAAAGGGTAATAATGTTTCAAAAACGTACAAAAAACACCATTATTCTTTTTTTAGTGAACAAAATACCATTAAACCGGAATTTTTGTACAAAAAATACCAACAAAGTACAAATAACCTTTTAGATGACCTGAGGTAACCGGTTACCTCAGGTGAACTACTGAACGTGCGTGCTTTAATGACCTTCATCCATCAAATTAGGGTTCCATCTTCATCCCCCTTCTTCATCTCCTTTGGCTCCTATGGCATCTTCAAGTTCATCGAATTATTCTAAGTCAAATTCGAACATTTCCAAGAGCAGGAGCACAATCGATTATGCCCACCCTGGTCACTGTAAGAAGCCTTCCCAAGTTTGGACCTCAACTACGACTAATAATCTGGGTAGAAAGTTCAGAGTATGTCGTAACTCACTAGTAAGTGGTTCTAGCATATATCATCTACTTCTTCTTCATACTTAATTTGTTATGTGAATTTTATTATGTATATTGAAGGATAAGAAGAAGAAGAAATGTGATTTCTGGGAATGGGTCGATCAAAATGACGAACTAATAAAAGAAGACAACACTGAAGTCAAGATATCAATATTGGAAAATAATTTTTGGACACATAAGGTGAAGGCAGATAAAGAATCAATGAGTTTCAGAAAAGACTTGGATAAATTAACTAGGAAATATTGGAATCTCAAATGTTGTATGTTGTTGTTCTTTGTTATGTTTTGTATGTATGTTATGTTGAAATGAAATGGAAATTGTAATGTAATGACTTTGGTAATGTATTTAGAAAGTTTGGTTAACTAAAAGTCTTGTGTTGGAATTGATTTATTGGTTACTGCTTAATACTGGAATGGAATTAGTGATTCCTGAAATGGAATGGATTTATTGGTTATTGCTTAATATTGATTCTTCACACAGGATTGGAATTAATGGTTCCTGATTAATTATCTTTGTGTATATAGAAATGAAATTAATGATTTTTGGTTAATTGTCATTGTGATTCTTGGAATGGAATCATTGATTCCTGGAATGGAATGGAAATATTGATTACTGCTTAATATTGATTCTTCACACAGGATTGGAATTAATGGTTCCTGATTAATTATCTTTGTGTATATAGAAATGAAATTAATGATTTTTGGTTAATTGTCATTGTGATTCCAAGAATGGAATCATTGATTGTCTTGTCTCTGTCCTTGTCCATAAATATAATGGGATAAAGTTGGACCACATATTGGATTGGCCTTGTCTCTGTCCTTGTCCATAAATATAAACACACACATTACCAAACCACATGCATTATCTAAGTGGGACCACATACATTAAATATACACATTACCACATACATTAAATATACACATTACCAAACCAAATACATTATCAAAATACACATTACACCTAATCACATGTAGCTTCAACAGTTTATAACTTAAATGTAAACAAGACATCAAAAGTTGTGCCTAACAAAAGATTCCCTACCAAAAGTTGTCCTGCACTTACCAAAAGATTCCCTAAAAAAAGTTAACAAAAGTTATCCCCATTACTGCTCCTACAGTGTTACAGGATTTTCAAGACTTCCCCCTGTATCATCCTTGGTCACCACCTTCCTCCTCAACCGAAGTTTTATGTTCCTCTGGTTGGGAACATAAACTACATTTAGAAGTGGTCCCAACTTTGCTGACAGTGTGTCTGTCACTTCTTTCTGAAATGCATTTCTTCCTGTTTGTCTTTGGTCTTCCAGGCAATCTTCTACGCTTTGGTGGTAAGATGGTATTCATATCATTTGCTGGCCACATTTCATGTCCATTAATTGGCTTAACATTATACTTGTAGCAGCTTCCAAACATTTGTGTTGTGTACCAATTTGCTACATACTCCTCTATATTCCCATTCAAGCACAAGATTGCGGAAATAGCATGTACACATGGTATACCTGTCAGCTGCCATGATCTACATCCACATGTTCTTTTATGTAAGTCAACTACATACACCTCATTCAACCATCTACTCTCATATTGATGAAAACCACTTGGAATTACTCCCCAAAACCTGTTATGAAATGTATCATATAAGTTATGTAAGTCAATTGCATACACCTGTTATGAAATGTAACATATATGTGTATATATATATATATATATAATGTATAAATACCTCTGTATTTTCTTCATGTCCTCAATCTTCCTTCTTATTGAGGGACAAATGTCCAAGTTCCACTTCAGTCCCTTCCTTTTCTAAGTAAACATCCTTTCCATCACATACACTCTAATGTCTTCCAACATTGCTATTATTGGTTTTTTTCAAGCTTCCACAATAGATGCATTAAATGACTTTGATACACCATTTTCAATGGCATCACTACCACTATCTTCCCTAAAAAATGCCCTGGACCATGTGTTTGGGTTTTTTTCCATCAGGTGTTCATAGGCAGTATTGTCAATCAGTTTGATCTCCTTCATGATGTCTTCAAATTTTGTGGTTGTTGTAGCCTTGGCAGCAAACCAGAAAAGTCTCCTGTATTCAGCTCCTAAGAATTTTTTCTTGAAGTTGGCATAAACATGCCTGGCACATTGTCTATGCTCACATTCTGGCACTCTTTCCTTAACTGCTTCAATCAGTCCCTATTAAGTAACATTTTGATGTCATTATAAGTTAAAAATAAAATAGAAATACTATTATGAAAAAACAGTTGAGTACCTTGTGTTGGTCAGATATGATGGTTAGTCCTCTACCTTGTCCCATATCAATGTCTTCAAGTAATAGATCCAAAAACCATTTCCAATTTGTCTTATTTTCAACTGGTACAACAGCCCATGCTAGAGGATACATATGGTTATTAGCATCCCTACCAACAGCTGAAACTACCTCACCTTTACAAAGTCCCTTTAAAAAACATCCATCTACACCAATCACTCTTCTACACCCCTCAATCCAACCATCCTTCACAGCCTTCAAGCAAATATACATCTTAGAAAAATGGACTGTAGAATCAGGCATGATATCCACATCCAATTTCACTGTGGAACCTGGATTAGTCCTCAATAATTCCAAACCATAACTTCTAAGCTTTTCATAGTGTGCCACCAAGCTCCCTTCTATCTCATCCATTGCAAATTTTTTGGCAATTCTACACTGTCCAAAACTAACTTTTAGATTAAAATCTCTAAGGACTGCTGCTGCCATTTTCCTGTAACTAATTCTTGGATTATCTATTATGGTTTCTATTAACTGTTTTCCAATCCAACTATATGTGACCATTGAACCTAAATTTAAGGCCCTACTACAATTATGTTCAGAGATTAAGGACTTAATCTGAAATGATCTTTCTTTACTCATCCAAGTTGCCCACAACCTAAAAGGGCATTTAGACTTCTCTTCACCTTTGCAACATCTAACTAATAATCTTGTTGAATCATTTTTTTCATACCACAGTTTATACCCATTAGCAACAGCATAATTACTTAACAAATGCTTAAGTTCATAACGATCACAGAATTTCATACCTAAGATTGGAGACATTGTATCCCATTTTTGGTTAGGATCATGAACTGGATACTTATGAAGATTTTTCTTGACATCTTTCTTATCATCTTTCTCATCATCCACAATTCTTGGAGGCTTGAAAAATTTTCTTCTAATGAAAGGATCATCAGATGGCTGTAGTTGTATCACTTCATCATCAGGCTCATGCTCCACGAACTCATCATCTGAAAGATCAGAGTCTACATCATCATCATCATCCGTATTACCATCTACTGATCCATCTTCAGCTATCTCTTCTTCAATCCACTCCATAACTGGATATTGACTGTGATCAATGTACAAATTGATCATACCCCCATTCTCATACCCAACATCAAGGAAACGAACATAATCATTTTCATCTTCCAAGACTCTTAACCCATCTCTCAGTGAACGTTGTGGAAGACAATAGTACACATTGATTGTTCCATCCTTGACCAAGTTCTTCACATACGAGATGAACTCCACGAAGCTCATGCTTCTGAAATCGACATTGCTAACAACCATTTTTACTGGATTGAAATACACAATCGGTTTGGGGACAAAAGAACCTGTATGATTTACTTTGATTGTGAACTTCGAATCCATTGTGATTTTGTGGAAAGGATTAACGAACGAAGTAGAAGGAAAAAAGGAACCCTTGATTTTGGGGGAAATAACGAAGGGTAAGGGCACAATTATTCTAATAAATCTTTTAACCGGCTAACCTATAATACCCGGTTTAATGGTATTTTTTTCACTAAAAAAAGAATAATGGTGTTTTTTGTACGTTTTTGAAACATTATTACCCTTTTAAGTCATTTTCCCTATTTATTTTTCACCTCATTCGTATATTCTTACTTCAATTCTTTTAACTTTCTTATTTTCTATCTTCTTCTAAATCTCATCACTAAAAATGGTTTGTGTTTGGTCTTCTGAAAGAAGAGATGTTACTTGTTCGTTCACGGGTTGATGTAACAAAAGATCCAATCCATAATGACATCCATGCGACTACTTTTTGGAGGAGAGTTACCAACAAATACAACTGTCAAGTCCCTGTACCTAGACGTAAAGAAGAAATGTACTCCAAATGGAGGCGAGCAAACGCACTTGCACTTCGGTTTAACAACGTGTTCCGTAGGGTGATGCTTGAAATAAAAAATTGTGAAAATGAAAATACTTTGCTACAGAGTGCTCTTCAGGCTTACAGTGTTGAAAATAACAACGATTTCAAGCTTGTTGAGTGTTGGCAAATTATGAGGCAATGCCCAAAATTTATTCAAATTTGAATTCGTTGTCTTCTAATTTCTAGTGGGTTGTCTGTTTAAGTTTCCGATTTGATTGTTTTTTTAATATCTAGTGGTCTTGTGATTTTTTATTTTCTAGTTTTGTGTTTTTAAAATAAATGGTATGTTTGTTTTTTTAGTTGTTGTAAGTTTATTTTCCAATTTAATGAATCTTTAGGTTTTATAAGAATAATATATTTCAAATTTTAAAAATATAATTTTAAATAGTTTTTGAAAAAAAATGAATATGGCAAGAATGACAACTCACGCCTTGTAAATGGCAAAAAGTTAAGACATTGTGACAAATCGTAGTTGGCGCTTAGGTGGATTGTGGCAAGTGTGACACCACTCCCACCAGCCTAAGACATTAGAAAAAAATATATATAAAGAAATAATAATTAAAGTGGGGTTGCTTAACCAAATAACCTAGTCCATTTAATATGTTTTACACTTATTACAATCCAAAAAAAGAAAAAAGACGATGTCATTAAACATATCCGATTTTTTAGGTTTGACCATTCCAAATACCATATCATGAAAATGTCATAACACCTAAATAACAATAAGGTTTGACAATTCCAAATACCATATTATGAAAATGTCATAACACCCAAATAACAGTGATCGCCACCACAACGTAACATCTAGAGAAGAAGTGCATGTCCAATGAACAAAATTGGCAATGTTACATCCCGATGATGATGTACTTTTAATTTAACCCTATGTATGAAATTTTTTGACCCTAGTGAATGAGAAAGATTGCAAAAATGGCCCATAGTGACATTTTGATAAATTTGGTTCAAGGCTTAGTACATTGGGCGTACTCTTCGTACACCAGGTGTATATGTGAACGGTGTGGTACGTTGGGCGTACACCGCATACGTAGGGCGTACGTGTAAGGGTTTCAAACACTAAGATTTATGGTTTGGACCCTATTTAAACAACTTTATGTCCCCAAGACCTTCACCCTCACCAACCTCCATTTGAAAATTGTCCCTCTAGCTAACCGTAAGTGAGAATAGTGCATCTTAAGCTCATTTATGTGTTTTATTGGTGTTCTTGAAGAAGAAGAACATGGTAGAAAGACATTGGAGCTTGGAAGATGCTCGAATCTCGGATTCTCTACTTGCTAGCAACTTCCAAGAGGTAAAAAAGCTCCTAACTAGATTATCCTATCTTGTAGATCTAGATATTCCATCATTAGGGCATTTTTGGTCCCCAACCTTTGTGATTCTAGATCATGGTTTGATCTTGACGAAAGAAGTCGTCCTTTCAGACCCAATGAGAGGTCTTGAGTCATAAAAAATAGATATTGATGCTTAGATCTTCCCCATGCATGCTCTAGAAGGTCTTTAGGTGTTAGAAACTTAAGTTCGTTTGTATTAAGCACTTAATGGGCATTCAAAGTCGTAAAGTTGGAAACATTATGACTCTCAATGGTATTTTGGAATTGGATCTGCATTCGGACATAAAAAGTCGAAGTATTAAGCTCTTAAATGGTTAAGAGGGAAGATTGATGAGTACACAGATTGAGTCTCGATGCCTCGTACATGAGTATGCCCCGCATATGAGGTCTAAGTTGACTTGACTAGGTTGATTCGACTAGATTGACTTGTTGACTTTGAACTGTAACATCTCGATTCCCAGGTATGAGATTTATTCCTTAGAAGGCATGTTTTCCTTGGAACTCGTCGAGTTGATGGCCTCAACTCGACGTGTTGAAGACTTTTGGGCCGCACATCTTTTTTGACCAACTCAACGAGTTGGTGACAAAAACTCGACGAGTTGGAGGCTGGTTGAGAAACCCTAAATTTTAGGGTTAGCACCCTATATAACCTCGTTAAGTCCTTAAGGCTGATCTTTTATCAACCTTCAAACCATGGTATCGGCTTTATGAACCCTAAACTTCATTTCATCTCTTATTGTGAGTTAGTGTGGCATTTTGGAGCAAAATAATGAGACAATTAAGAGAAGGAGGCAAGGATCTAGAAAGCTAAGCCAACATCTTCAATTTGGCACTCTTTTGGACCATTGTAAGTATTCAAAATCCGATTTTTATCTATCTATGTAGCTAGATCTTGATTTTTTTCCCTTTGTCTCCTTATTCTTGGATGTTGTAATGGATGGACTTCATAAAGTTTGCAACTTTATGAATCTCCAGGTCAAGATGACCTTAGAGTGGGTTAGATCTGGTCTTTAGTCAAGATTTGATTCCATGCATGGAGTTTAGGTCATATTTCCATTTATGGCCCAATTTTGGTTCAAGGCATGCATTGGACACACATATCTATGAAGCACCCACCTTTGGGACGTTTTTGAGGCTAGAATCTCTTCTTGAAAAGTTGGATTGCGGATCTCAAGGATTTTTTGTTTAATGGTTAGGCCTTTGAGTTTTTAAACCTTGTGGAAGGATTTTTGAGCATTTAGAGTAGCCTTAAAGGATAAAGTTGGAAACTTTATCCTTTTATACACATTTGGAGTTTACATCTAAGCCTTAGAGTCCCTGGAATCGAAGAATCAGTTGTATGTTTTAAGTTGGGGAAAATTCGTCGAGTTGTCCAGCCAACTCGGTGAGTTGACTACGGTTTTCCCCGAATTTAATAGCACTGTAGAAATCAACGAGTTCAAGAGGTGCACTCACGAGTAAGGTCAACATGGACTGTTGACATTGACCGTTGACTTTGACTTTGATCATGGTTGACCAAGTTGGACTTTTTGAGATTTTGATGGGTTAGTCATGATGGTTGTAGGCTTTGAGTAGGGAGCTGAGATTTGGAGTTAGATCTTATCAGTTCAGCGACTTGTGAGGTGAGTTTTCCTCACTATACTTTCGGGTGGAAGGCACCAAGGCCGGCCTATTGGTTTGATAACATGACATTTTTGATATGCTAAGTATGGTATAGATATGCACACTAGTCTTGATATGCTAGTTTGGTAGATCTGTAGGACTACCTATGATACTATTTGTTTATCTATTTATAATATTATCTGTTATATGTCGACATATTATGTGGGTTCGGTTGAGGTTTTATTGCTCCGTGATGTAGCCAACAAATGCTGGAGTGTGCCAGATATGAGCTGAGGGCTAGGGACGACATGCCAGACTCATACCGAGGATTCATGAGCATTCCAGATACGAGCTGAGGGCCAGAAAGGGTATGCCAGGCTCGTACTAAGAGCTTATTGGTATTCAATCCAAGGACTGATTTGGCCGAGGAGCAAACCAAACATAAGTTGTGGGCCGAGGGCAAGCCAGACTTATGATGTGGTCTTAGGGGTAATCCAGTCTGTTAAGTTGTGGACCCATTGCATGTTGTTATTATATTTTTTCTATTTGTTATGTATCGATATTTTATGGGACCCCACTAAGCTTTGGGCTTACAATTTTTGGATTATGTTTCAAGTACTTCAAAGGATTGTGAGAAGGAGAAGACGTGATCGTGAACCTCCTCATATTTTGTTTTATGTTTTTGGGATTTTGCAGATGTGAATTGTATTTTGAAAACAATTTCTAAACAATGATGGTTTGGGTTTTTTTTTAAAGTTTAAAATTTTCATGAATTTTACGAATGTTACAAGTTGGCATCAGAGCCTTGGTTTGAGTGACTTGGAGGAACACTAGTGTGAATCCAATCTCAAAGTAAGGAAAATATTTTCAAAATGATTTTCAAATGGTTTTCAAACTATCAAGGAGGAGCGATATGTACGATCAGCTAGAGCCAGGATGTAGACCCCAAAATACCATATTGTTGTTTGATATTGTAATATGTTAGAACAACATGCTAGTGATGGGCTAGGGATCTTCAAGAATTGCATTCTAGAATTGCCTGATTATATGATGCCTGATAGCCTAGGACCTTTCTTTTATGGAATTGACATCATTACTATAGTTGCTTAGTGTATGCATCATGGTTATATATAACTAAGATCTTATAGCCTGAGAATGTTTGGTTTGGCCTTATTTCACGTTCTTGTTTGATCAAGGACTTAGTTTAGGATCAGATATTTGAATGTCTATAGGGTCCAGTGTTATGTATGGCTAGCATACACGAGTGTTATTTCATGGATGAGTTGTGTGGGATCAGTCGGCCAGTCGTGAGATGTTTATCCTTTCCTATATGGAGTGAGGATTGAGTGTTCATATTTGCTTATGAGTATTGTTAGGGCATTGTAATTATCCTTGAGACAAATACAGGTAGGTGTGGAAGGTAGTATGGGCCCGTACTATTGAAAGCACAGGATCCGTAAGCGTACCAAGGAAGTCACAACCCTAGGGTTTTGTTGGGAGTTGGTTCCCCGTTATGATAAGTGGTTTCTATGATA